AGCTTTAATGCTACAAGTGAGAACTATATTAATTTATCATAATTTTAAAATCCTAAAGGACATTTATTTATTTACTAAAAAAAAATTAGAGGATATTTATTCGAATCCATTAATTTTTCCAATAAAAAGTGTATCAAGCACAAATATAATGATTTTTGAGGCTAATAGTAATGAATTACATGATGGGACAGACGGGCCATGATACCATAAGCACGTTAATGAAATGGAAAACCTACTTGATGCTCCATATGAGATCCATCAAAGGGAACTTCCAGTCTTTGCTGTAGATTTTTAAGTCTTTCTTCCTAAAGGAGATCAATTAAAAACATCAAGGACGCAAGTAGATCTCCAATAAGCAATGAAAGCAAAGTCAAAGACGTACATGTTCACTTATTTTAATTTTTTTTTTTTTTTTTTAAAAGCCAAGTTGAATGATTGGCTAGATCTACTGCATCAATAGAAGGAATCACATTCTCGTGGATATACACGTGCTTTCTGAAAGAGGATTTTCAGTTTAAAGAAGAAAAAACACAAATCTTATATTCCCATGTAACAAAAACAGAAAGGAAAAAAAAAAAAAAAGTTTCTACTCCTCTCTCACTACCAACATATGAGACTGCCAATCACGGTGCAACTCAAGCAGGTAATGTCTGAGGTTGACTGCCAAATTAGGTCATGATTTCCTCACAGATCTGGGAGAAACACTTTGGCTTTTCATGCCAAACTCCTAGCTCCACTGCCACCTAGGCTAGGCACAGTGGTGAGACACCACCCCACGCCTAGGATTGTCTAGGTGTTGCACAATTTGCAACACTGCAGTTTTCATCACACTTCTAGATTTTAAATAGATTATATAGGAAGAGAAAAATGACTAATCTCCCAACTGAATTTGAGTTATGTATTTTTGTTGTTATCTTTATGCGCAAACTACCAAGCCCAACTTGACATGCTATTTGTTAACCCTTCCTTAAGGAGAAAGAGTAGTCAAAGTTTAACATTCAAACCCGTCTTTCTTCCAGGCTGATCGGCCTAATTGGCCAGGTTGATTGGTGCTCAATGGATTTCACATAACATTATTTAGTATGGAGAATAATTAGTCAAAGGAAACAGATTCAAGAATGAAAAATGATTTTTATACAACTTTTTTTTCTTACTTTTTTGTACAACTTGACGTGTTATTAAAATGATTAGTTTTTTTAATTTATGTAAGACTCATAATATTGAATGCATTCACTCATTTAATAAAATGTAGAAGTTGTATAAAAAAATAATATAAAAAGATTATCTCTATAATACCACCCTTCAATAATAAATATTTTCACATTCAAATATTAAAAAAAACTCCTTTCTTTTGCAAGGCATAGGAAAGAAGCTCCCACAACCACATAACAACCCTTCCTTGGGGAGAGAAAGAAAAGAAAAATAAAACCAAATATTTTAATCTGATGGGTGCTCCTATTAATCAAAGAGAGAGAGAAAGGGAGAGTATTCCTTTGCTAAAAAACAAGAAAATATAGTAGATTTCTGGAGCTTAAAAATAAAAAAAAGGGTAAAAAAGTTTCCTCATGTATTATACCTGTAGAGGACTAAGTGTAGGCAAAAGGAGCTTGTTGATTGGTTCATTTTGAGGTCGGGGTAATAGCCGCCCAAGAAGTGATCCAGATCCACCAACAACGTTTCCTACAAAAAAAACTGTCAGTTAACCAAACTGCTATCAAATTTACCACAATAGGCAATGGAAAAAAAACCAAAAAAACTGTCAGTTAACCAAACTGTTATCAAATTTACCACCATATCCAATGGAACAAAAACCAGAACTAACTGCCAGGTCCACGGCATGCTTTCAGAATAGCAAACCAAGAAAAAATAAGAACCATACAATGAGGAAGTTAGCAAAATACTGTCCACCAAACTCATTTGGAGCATATGCTTTTCTTATATTTGCACAGCTTTCAACAAGTACTAAGAGAAACAGTAAGTGTTCAGATGACCCTCTAACCCTTTTCATTTTGCAATTAGTCTTTTGGCATATATTCTCTGTGATGTGATCTTCAAAGAAACAAAATTAAAACATTAAGTCCAATGAGTAACAGTCTACAATTAACTCTTTCAACTGCTATCTGATGTGGATTTTATTATTTCCCTTTCCCCAAAGAAAAAAAATGTAGCTAAAAAGCAATCTTCCACAAATGACCTGAAGCTTGGACCAACTGAACTAGTTGAGTAAGAAAAAATAATGTCAGATCTAGGTAGCAACTTTACACTAACACTTGGTTTCCTATTTTTGAACTTCAAAAGGTATTAGGATTTCAAGAGGAACAGAGAAAAGGGGATAAATAAGGTTCCAAAGAGGGAGGAAACCGTGGAAAAAGCAGAAAAATATGATTGCAGCCATGATTAACTCAATGGAAGACCATTCAACCATATTGGAGAACTTTTTTTTTGGCATGGTCCTAATGCTACTAGGTTTTCTTTTTTGGCCTTCAGCCTAATACTTCTAGGTTGACTGTTGACATTAAGAAGTGATTCCAATGGAAAAGATAGTATAGGCTGTATGGTGGCACTTCAAGACAGCAAGAAAATATGAAGGACTAGTCTTCAACCCGAAAGACTTACACGTTTGAGGGTATACATTAGCCCAAAGATGACACTTCCTAGCTAATGCTTTGCACACCCTACCTACTATCTTTTAAGTGCTAAGCATGACATTCTCACCGTCCACATTTTGTCAATTGTCATGACCATGTTGTGATCCGAGTATGCTTCCATCCCAAACAGCCATGTTATTCCCCACCCGGGCACTGTGCATTAACCTTGGGTGTGATACAAAATGTGAAAGTCAGAGACTCCAATACCATTGATTATAAGCTGATCCTCAATCCAAAAGACAAGTCTATTAACGTATCATCCCACCATTTCTATCCAATGTGGGATTTTTACACCACCTCTCTTTTGGAGCTCTTAAAATTATTCAAAGATCCATATGTAAGCAAAGATAAAGCACTAACTCTGATAGAGGGTGGAATATCATCTGGTTTGCCGTGGTCTGAACACTATGGCTGGGAAGGAATGACAGGATTTTTAATGCAAAGGAAGCAAATGTAGACTACTTTTTTCAACTAGTTCAAACTCGATCTTTTTACTGGGCAAAAATTATTGCAGGAATGGATGGGTTCTCTTTACAAGATTGGTGGGAAAACCCAACCAAATGTTTAAAGCAAAGGAGTCAATACCGTACCGGCATGCGTACCGGTTTTGTTACTGGAACGGTACGTACCGGATATCGGAATTTTTCGCGTACCGTTTCGGATTTATCGCTATAAATATATT